ACTAAATGTCATCAGTTTTCGTCGACTAAAACTAGACTAAAATGTCATCAGTTTTCGTCGACTAAAACTAGACGAAAATAGTCATGGATAATTCTGACTAAAATAAGACTAAAATGCTCAGACTTTTAGTTGACTGAAACTTGACTAGACTAAAAAGAGTATGAACGTGACTAAAATTAATAAAAACTAAAATGGCAGCTTCACGCAAAGACTAGACTAAAACAAAAATTAAAACAGGCCGCCAAAAACAACACTAGTCTTATCGAAAACAAATATTCTGTGATAAAGTAATCCATATGAAACCAACGCGATATCCAGTCTTTCTCCTTCTAGCTTCATTATCTCTAATTAGATCACGCCCACGCGCTACTTTCGCTTTTGATATTACAATCGTCCACGTGAGACGCACAGCATGTAAACGCCTACATCACAGCAAACAAAGCAGCAAGACTTTTCCTCAAGTTCATCTCGGCTACTGTTCGTTTCTGGAAGAAGACGCGCTGTGAGGAATAAGACAGAATTTACCTCAGAAAAAGATGCGCTGAGAGGAATAAGCTTTGGATTACCACAGAAAAAGAAGAACGCGGCGGCACACAGCACTTAGGATGGGATAAATGCAGAGCACTAATTCAGAGTATGGGTTACCATACTTGGCCACATGTCACAATCACTTTCATCACTTTCTTTCACTTTCCAACACAGACTTGTTGCTGCCATAGTTTTTTACTCTGTATTTACTCTGCATCACTTAAAGCACAGCTCTGTTTTGACATCGGCTTGTCAGATAATTTGATCCATCCATTACAGTTATCACCATCAATCGCGCAACAATTTGGCAGATTCACTCGCGTAATTTTTTACACTCGCGTTTGTCATTCCTGAAACAGTATACGTGGACGGTTGGGTCCTCTTAGACCATAGACTGTTAAAAAAAAAAAATGGACGACATGTCTCCACTTCCTTCCACTATAGAGAAGTGAAGTCAAAACATTCTCAGTATGGCCGTTGTCATCTTGTGAAAATGACATCATTTGGAACCATAGTCTGCGCAGTAGTGATTGTGAGGTGGAGCCACGGTATCAAAGTTCCGCCCAAACTCACGCAGACCCAATGGCAAGATCACAATCATGACACCACACCCCGTTTTTATAGCATCAAATAACTAATTAAAAGCAAACTTGTTAGAAAAACGAACACTTGAACATACATCAGCATGCTAAGAACTACCTAAGATGACAGAAAATATCTTTGGAAAAAAAATATTTGAAGTGTAATTTGATTGTTTAGTTTGTCTCAGATCCCATTACATTACATGGTGAGAGCGGGTTTATGACCTACTGTATACTGCATCCAGTCACCTAGGGGCGATCAAAATGCTTTGTCTTCACTTTTCAGGACTCATGTGGCACGCTTGTCTTAGACAAACAAAACTTTTCTTCAAACTGTGAATGAAGTATGTAGAGAGACAAAAGGGCGTTTCCCTTACAGCGCAACTGACCAAGCTTACTCGCGCGAAAACTCCTGATGTAATCAATAATTAACTACACAATGAATTCCTTATTTACATCATGTATGCTTTCTTTTTGTCTTTATTATAATATGAAGATCTGTGAGCATGTAGAACTACATAAACTTGCGAAAACAAAATTAGTTCAGAGCGGATTCTGAATAACCTACAGTAATAACCTCTGATTGGCCACTGCTTTCAACAGAGATACCTGTGATTGGCTACAATACTCAATGCTGCAAAACTTTTGGTTTTGTAATTTGAAACCAGAGCACGCACATATGTAAGTTTTTTCCTAACAAAATTCAAATGAAAATTCAAATGAATGAATCTGAGTGTAAACGGTGTGAAAAGCATTTGGTTAATGGTGAATTAACCTATTGTGCATAACGTGGTGGCTCCTGCTTGTAGCTGGACTCGCTGCATTTGAGATAAAAATGAAGGAATTATATATTGTATAAGGTGATAAAACAATAGAAGGAGACCCGGGTTGCACTGTATGTTCGTTCACACACATCTATCGGATTGGCAGCTGCCTTCAGCCTGGCAGCCGGCTCCCCCTGCCGCGCAAAGATTTCACACTCTCGTGCTCGTTGCGTCTCAAAGCTCCGCCCACGCTACTTGATTGACACTCCTCATTTATCATTTGCAATGTCCATTTGAGCATTTGATTTGCCTTTTGCGGTTTCCGTTTGAGCATTTGATTTATAATTTGAGTATTTGATTTATTATTTGCAATGTCCAATTAAGCATTTGATTTATGATTTGAGCATCTGATTTATCATTTGAACATTTGATTAATCATTTGTGATGTCGGTTTGAGCATTTGATTCATGAACTGAATTAGATTTAATTATGGCAGGTTTATAATGGGTTGATAATGAAAATTAAATATAAAATACAAATTATTTTTAATTTGATTTTGATACAGTTCATGCTTCCCTGAATGAGGAAATTAAACTGCATTTGAGTATTTGATTTCTCATTTGAGAAGCCATTTTAAGAGTTAGATTTTTAGGCATTTGAATTTTCATTTTGTTCAGAAAAAACTTCCGTACGCACACAAAAACGCACAGGAGCGATTGAAAGAGGGTGACTTCAAGCGGGTACAGAATTGAGTTGGTACTACTGGCACTGTAAAAAGCCCCCCCCAAACAATTTTAAAAACTCACCGGAACTACACGAATCACAGAAATGACCCATTTTGAATTCAAAACGCAGAATTTCACTGAAAGGTGACAAGTTTGCATCCCTGAATGTTATATGATGCTGATAACTGAATGATTCTTCTGCTGTTGGTGGTGTGTTTAGGGGTGGCAGATGTACTATACAATGCTGCAGAAACTGCATATTCCTGCACAAGAAATAACACTGACCAAGGATCGTTCAAAAAGGCGACCCCTGAAAAATCAAACCTCAAACCAAAGAAAATGAGCAAAATGGTAAAGACTTTTGGTCAAATGCTTTGAAGGTTTACAGAGGATTCCCTCCAAATCAACAATGGCTCAATTACATGCGGTGTCAAAGAGAGCACGTTTTGATTACTGCGTTCTTACTGCCTCTCAAGGTGTAGTTTAGAAAATTAGGTATGTCTCTTACTAAAGGAAGGGTAGCTGTTGCCTCCTTGATCTCAGACATCAGCACATGTCTATGGATGTTCCTGGGAGCACTCTGGTATCGCTGCTTCCTCCTGTCCAATACAGACCCAGAAAAAAACATAAATATTCTCACCTTCTCACACAGGAAAAAGAAATGTACCCAACACAAAAAAATTCAGTACAAATGGTTTAGGTCTATAAGCTAAAACCTTATCTTTTTACTTGGGTTTTTAAAAAGCAAATTATTTTTCTGAAGCATTCTATACATTAAGTTGCCTTTATTATTACTTGGTTTTAATCTCATTATGTATTTTATGTATACTAATTGTATCTCATTATCATTATAAAGAGGGTATAATCTTTAAATAATGGTATATTAATTATGGTATTTTTATTAGTTTTCATGTGAAGTACTTGGTGCTTATTGTAAAGCAATTTGAGCTCTTTGTATTAAAGGTGGTATACAAATAAAGTATTATTATTATTATTATTATTATTATTATTATTATTATTATTAAGGGTGCACTAAGTGAAAAGCCATGTCAGTGGAGTCAGGGAAAGAGAGAGACATTTATGACCTTATTCTTGTGGTCAACATGACTTTACACTCTTATCAGGATGAAAATGGAATTATCAGCACCTTGTTTACAGTACAATTTCACTCTGATATTGAGAAAGTAAATATAAAGTGTTCAATTATGCTTTGTACACTTTTAACTAGTGCATAATGTTGCTATTTGAGCATGAAACAAATCTGCAAATTTACAAAGCACAGTCCTTACAAAGCAATAACTCCAAAGGGAGTTATTCTCTATATCAGTATGCACTGTTTATGTACTTCCTCAAACGCCTCCATTGTAGTCCTGAGTTCCCTTTCAATATCAGTCTCTCAACATTGCGGCAGATAGCGGACGCTATGGGGAAACACCCTTTCTCCTAGAAATACTGAAATATGATTAAATCATGCTGTTGCCTTGCTTTGCCTTTGACAATAAGCTGGCCACTGAATTGCTTCCGCCCTCCCACAGCCTAAAAGCCATGGAGAAGGAAGCAGCGGCAGCCAGAGGCAACTGAGTCAGGGGATGAGCTCAGGCCGAGTCAGTTTCTACGTCCCTCGCTTCCACCTGAACTACCTGTGATTTTCGCCAGGGATAGGGACCAGTGGTGGACTTTCAGGACATGAAAATAAGCAGTTTCAAAGAGGCGATCTACCTGCTCCAGCTGCTCACTCATTGACAATATATGAGCAGCCCCTGCCTCAGAGCAGCTGTTTTTCATATAGGTGTGTAGTGATGATTACACTAACCACTATATATCCCGGCGCTGCCACTGTTCATTGCCCTTCTATGATAAGCACTGGCTGTGCCGCCAGTATATATGTAGGTGTGTAACGTTGCTTACACTGACCGAAATTTATGCTGGTGCCACACTACTCGTTGCCCATCTATGATAAGCACCGGCTGTGCCACTGTTTTCATATAGGTGTGAAGTGCTGCTTACACTAGCCACTTACACTTATGGCTATGTGCCTAAAGCCAACAGGTTACTATTGTAAGACACTGTATGTCTGCTTATGCTCTTTGGCTGCAATGGTTCTGTCATATTACATATTAATGTCCTACTATGAGACAAAGTGTTTAGGGCTATCAGCTGTTTATAGCTATCTGAGGTGTTTCCAAATAGCGTCAGCTATTTGATGCAACATCTCGCTCCCTCATTTCAGGGAACCAAGTCAGTAACCCAAGAGGTTTTCTTCCAGGAATACACACGTCACAATATCTCAAATTTAAATAATTTCTGCCTAAGGCATGCCCAAGGGGGTGAGGCCTGGTTGAGCTGCATAAGTAGTGTGTTATCGCCATGTCCAAGAGACAATGTTTCACAGATCTAATATACTGATACACATGCGATTTCTTCCCCAACTGTTTACATTCACAGACACAACCAACATAATGTGAAATTTTATTTTTTTGTGTTATTTTGACAGCTAATGTGAAAGAAATCTTAGTTAAATGATCACACGATGCGACATCTGACTACTGGCTTTCTGTGTGCGTGCTTTGCGTGTGTGTGTGCACTCAGAAAACCGTATATCAGGAATTTAAACTGACAAGGCTTTAAAATGCATGCAGATATTTTGTTTGTTGTTGCTGGAGTATCCATGGCAAGAGCTGTAAAGGCATAGCCCTCTTCTGGGAGCTCATTTGCATTTAAAGAGACACACACAAAAATAATGTGTTTTCGCTTAGATCAAGGTTTCCCAAACGGGGGTTTGCAAGGGAATTTCAAGAGGGTTCTTGAGTTGATGAAATGCTCAATTAAATTATTAAATTATCAAACTAAATTGTAATTAAATCATAAAGTTTACACACATAAATAATTAAAAAAATAGTGCTTATAATTAGTAATAAAGTAGTGTTTCTGCTGTTCCATAAGCACCACTTGCTGTCAGAGAGTGGATTTACATTTTCATTCAGCCTTTCTGCTGTTTTTGTTCTGGCCAATGTAAAAATTGGACCAAATTTTTTTTTGTAAATCTTAACTGGTAAATGGAAAACAATCTAATGTGCACTCAAAAAAATCTCAACACTTCAATAATAAGGTAGTCTATGTAGAACTGCTTATTATGGCTGCACGATTATGACAAAAATCATAATTGTCGATTATTGCCTTGAAATTGTAATTGCGATTATTAATTACGATTATCACAATTTACATTGAATGATGTTTATACCATTGTTTGATGCACCTGCATGTCGTATTTTTATATGAAAATAAACAAGCTAAAAACACAAACTGAAAAACGTTGTGCTTTTCTATAGTATTAAGCCTCAAATGTCAACTATACATCGGATTGGTTTCTTCTTTAAATTATAAAAAAAAAGTACAAATATAAATGGTATTATAGTGTTATACTAAAACTAAAATTAAAACAATGGAAAAACCCTTAAGATAACATGTAGAAAGAACAAAAAAAGCATCTTAAGCACACAGAATAACATAAGTGGACTTTGAACGATTAATTGCCACTTTGAACGATTATGTAATTGTGGCATCCATAATTGTAATCGCGATTAGAAATTTGATTAATTGTGCAGCCCTACTGCTTATAGAGTAGGGCTGTCACTAACGATTATTTAGGTAATTTAGTAATCTGTCGATTATTCTGACGATTGAGTAATCGGATAATTCATAATTAATTTTTTTGTCGTAATAAAAATAGACCTAAGTGAACAATAGCTTTTAAAATGGCTTCAAATACATATATAATAGCAATTAAGTAAGGGATAATCAACGGCTTGCCGTTCATTAAAGGATTTTAAATGCAGACGCGGAGGCAAAGAACCACCCGACCTGCTTATTCCATGGTCATTTGCCAAGTTATGGACAAGTTAAAAGTAGTATTGCTCTATTCAGCGCAATATTTGACTGAATGGGTAAAAATGATGGTTATTTTCATCAGTTACAGCTCGTTAGCTCTAGCATTCTGCCCGCTTCAAATCAGACACAGATGAAATAGTGAAATAATGAAATGTATTTGAATTAATTATTGATCGTTTGTTCAAGAGAGAGAAAGAGAGATGACAGTTGAGTGTGTGAATTACCTGCGTCTGTGCGTCTCTCTCTACAAACAATGAAGTTGTGAGTTTAGTTACTTAAACAGAGATTTTACCTCATCGTTGCTGAGGAATATAATGCAGTGATCCAGTAGCCTATCTAAGCCATTTTATTAATAAAAGTCGTGGGGGCGCCTGTGTTTGTGTAGGTTTATAAATGATTTACCTTACACATCTGATGAAATGGCACACGTTGCATTTCCAGTTGAACGTTATAATAAACCCAAACTCACAGCAATATGCAGAGATTCATTTTAATTAATTAATTTATTTATTTATGCATTTAGCAGACGCTTTTATCCAAAGTGACTTACAGTGCATTCAGGCTCTAAATTTTTTACCAGTATGTGGGTTCCCTGGGAATTGAACCCACGACCTTCTGCGCTGCTAACGCAATGCTCTACCACTGAGCCACAGGAACTCAGAGAGAGGAAGAGATGGAGTTTGAAATGCTCCATGCATGTAAATGATAACAGTTCGTTTGGAGCAGCATTTACTGTGAACGGAGCCTCTTTGAGAAGCACGTATGTAACCTACACGCATGTAAATAATTAAAGCGCATATATTAAACCGGCATTGCATATATTTAATTGAATCATAGCGTTTGTGAATTCACAAAGTTTAATATAACACTCAGCCTTGGAAGACGGTCTAATAGAGATTTTCATGGATTCTCATCTGTGAAATGCGCCACTTCTGGTATTTTGCAGATTACTCGGTACGTACCTCGGTTTTGATGTCACGGTTAGGTACAGTTTCAGTACAGCAGGGGGAAAAACTAAACACTTTTTTTTTTTTTTTATTAAACAGTGGTTTACTGAAAAAATTGCTCTCTTTAAATAAATTCAGTTATAATTCAAATTTTCTTAAGGATAAAAATCTACCTCGGCTTATGCTCTAAACTATAGTGAGCTGTTTTACATTACCTACTATAAGGTTACAGTTAACAAGAGAGCCCAAACTTAAATTTAATTACAATTTATTTTTAAATCTAACAAGCAACACTCATCTTACAAAAATGTATGCAAACATGTAAATTGCACATAATGCAGTTTTTAAATTAACTTCTAAATTATAAAAATTATATATGTTGTTTAAATATATTCATTTACACAGTGCCTCTCATAACTCGTTTCATAACAGATTTATTTAAACATTAAATAATTAAGACATCACTAACAGGTAGAATAAAATATAATGAGTATATAGTCTAATATTTCATGAAATGCTCTTCTCTAGACTTCATTTATAGCGCATTAACGAGCTGTGGACACTGATGACTTGCCTGAGGTAAATGAAATGCTTTGTGACATTTTGTTTACAAGCTGTTTTTTAATGCCGTCTTTCCGCGGTTGAAACACTGATTGAGTGATTACGTGAGGCACGAGATGTTCGTTCATGTTTATTTCATGTTAAAACTAGTAAAAAGGAAGGGATGATCGCGCTCCCGTTTATACAGCGATCTGTCGCGCCGCATCAAAGAGCGCCAAAACGGAATTTATTGTTTGAATTTCCTGAAAAAAGGACATAATTTGAAAGATGAAACTTTGTTTCTTATCAGAAGTAGCAATATATAAAACAAAGTTTCCAATTAAGTTCCACTTGTGCAGTGGTTAAAACATGTTGTATTTGTTCGGTACACATGCATACCGAACCGAAAGACCCGTTACAATTACACCCCTAATTGTAAGTCACCCAAATCATATTTTTTATTTGTTTAAAATCCGCTGATTTTCAATATAAAACTTGATGAAATGATTTCAATGTGTGTTTGAATACTTTTTGAACATTTCCACTGTCATCATTTTGGTCACTATAATCGAGATATGAAATTATGCCATTTTTTTCAAAATAACAATAGCTATGTAAAGTAATTCTAAGAAAAAACTTTAAAATGGAT